TTTTTTTTTTTGAACTGAGAAATCTTTTGACCACTATTACTAACCGGAATGTCAACTTCTCCGATTCCCAATTCAAGCAGTCCTACAGCAATCAACTCAGAGCTTGAGGTACAAAAGCAATTATATATATATAGAGCTCCAACATGCTGAAATATTAGTTATATATGCTTTATTTATATACTTTTTTTTTTTTTTTGCAACTCATATAGGAACTCCAACAGGAAACGAGCAACTTACAACATCAGCTCCAAATGGCTGAGCAACAATTAAGGTACTCGTTTGGTCCTTTTTTTTTTTGTGTGGTTACCGAGTATAATTTGTTAAGAATCTTGATGTCCTATTAGATACAATTTTTGTTTTTTTAAAAAAGAAGTGTGACATTTTAAGTAAAGCGTCATTCGTTTGGCTCGTTTTAGTTAAGAACTTAAATTAAAAAGTATATTTTTTTAAAAAATACTGTAGCATACTTTTAATTTGAGTAATTCTCGTATACTGTTTAAGGATTTTTGAGCCGGATCCTCAGTCCTTTTCCTCAATTGAGGAGCTTGAATCATGTGAGAACAACATTTTGGCAACTTTGACACGTGTCGCAGAAAGAAAGGTAAAGAACATTCACCTCTGTATCATTTGTTGTATTAAACTAATTGTGTTCAACTGTAATCAGTGGATTCGATTTTGTTTTTGTTTTTATATGGGGTGGAGCTTATTTCTCTCACTTTATTCAAGAAATAAAACTACCATAGTGGGCTAATCTGTCGTTTTTTTTTTTTTTAATTATTTTATGTAACGATTGAGCGGCAATATCATTTTCAATAAATAAAAGATATGCAAATTGGTCTATAAAGAGATTATTTAGTACGCTGTATGGCCCAATTTGCCACTCGGCGAGGGCCTCACCTGGTCCGTTTGCTTTGGGCCAGGTTGGGCTGCGAATAGGATCTTGACCAACTTTGGACCAGAAAATCTAGAGAAATGCCCAGTGAGAGTTTATATTTGTTGGTCCATTTTTAGCTGTCTCGCCAGTACCATTTTGGCAACTTATCTAACTGTTGAGTAGTTTTAGTAATTAGTATTATAATGTGACCAAATTTTTAAAATTAAATGATATTGAAAAATAATATTGAACGGATAACCAATAGAACAAGAAATTCGGGACAACATATTGTAGTAAGGGATATATATTGATTTGAGTCTCATTTCTTAAATGCTATAAGATTTATGTACTTTATTTGTTACAATTTCTCTTTTATATAATGAGTTTATGTTCACTCAACTCTTCTACTTCTTTGTTTCTGTTTGTAGAAAGATTTATTAAGCAACCACTTTTCAGCTTATGATCCAACAAGTGTTCAGGTAATCAGCAACAACAACAAAAAAAAAAAAAGTTCCACGGCGATCATCTTAATTTATGAGTACCTTCCTTGCTTTCTGAGTTTAGTACAAAGCAATATATATATATATATAT